AGCCCCGGGCTAGAGTGAGCTGAGGCGGCGGGGTCGAGAACGGCGCGCCCAGCGGATCCACGTGTTCTAGTCTACTAATAATAAAATTATAATAAAAAAACGCTTATTAAAGGAGTATTTACCAGAAATGTTATTTACCAGAATTTATTTAGGAGAAAAATGTAAATGTGCAGTATTTCTGAAAAGAAAAAGAAAAAAAAACTACTTAGAAAAAAAAAAAAAAATCAATTAATTGGAGATGCTTTTGATTAGAGTATAGAAAAATGAAAATGGAAAAAAAAAAAACTGAATTTGGAAATAAAACGGATTTCATAGGGCCCTATAATTATAATTAATTTTTTTGTAGTAATAAAAATAGATGTAAGTAAACAATAGCCTTTAAAATTACTTAAATACATATATAATAGCAATGAGGCAATAACAATTAGTTCAAATAAAATATCAAAAGCAAGAAATCATATGGTTTTATTGAACAAAATTGTTAAAATACATGTTTTATAAACAATAGAGCTAATGTACATTACACATTACAATAAAGGCCTGCAGAGGGCGCCAATGGCCTAATGATTATTTTTACACATTACTGTGTAATCTAATACTTGTTTAATATTGACCAAGTTGCGTTCCCAGATGAACGTTATAATAAACCCAAACTCACAACAACATGCAGAGATGGAGTTTGAGACGCTCTACACATGTAAATGATAACAGTTCCTGTGGAACTACTGTGAACGAAGCCGCTTTGTGACGCATGTAAATAATTAAAGCGCATATGCTGTATTAGAACTGCATCGCATATAATTATTTAATTAAATCGTAGAATTTGTGAATTCACAATTATGCTTAATTATTATTTTTAAATGGGTTTAATATATCATGCAGCCTTGGGAAACAGTCTAATAATGTGTTTTATGGATTCTCGTCCGTGAAATGCGCCACTTCCGGTATTTTGCCGGTTAGTCGACGCGAGCAAAATGAAGTCGAGGATTTTAAAAAAATCGCATAGTCGAATAAAATCGACGAATCGCGACAGCCCTAATAAAAATATTCAAAAAAATAAATAAATATAATAATGATGACTAAAGAAATGATCAAAATCAATAAAAGTAAAACAAATTAAAATAAAAACTGAAAATATAAAAATAAAAGCTAATTCAAAATATGAACATATATTGCAATGGCATATAAATCATACTAAAACCCCACTGACACACCATGGCTGTGGTTGAAGTAGGCGAATCCGAGCCCGGGGTAGAAGGCGCTGTGGTCCTCGATGGCGTAACACTGCATGCGCTCATTGTGCCGGATGGTTTCCTGAATAGACGTGTCCTCACCGGTTAGCCAGCGCCAGTCCTTCATACAGCCGTCCAGTCGAGGGTTAACCTATGTCAAACACCAGGATCATGAACACATAAAGAAACAGAGCATGTTCAGATGAGCACCGTGTATATGACGTTTGTTTATCTATTTCAGTTCTGCTGAACTAATTCAACTGCTCAGTTTCTACACTAATGGATTAGAGCTCATGAAGCTCACCCTGCTGACCAGGCCGTCGTCTCTGAAGGGAACGCCGCCCACCGTGAGGTTGAGCTCATGCAAGCCTTTATTCAGTGTGAACAGATCTCCGTTCACTGCGATCTTCATCACCGCCTCCCTGTCAATCTTGATGACGAGGCTCCGCCCCTGTTCCTCAACTGAGATCTGAGTGGACCAATGAGGAGAGAGTCGAGTTGCATTTGTTTCTATAGCAGTTTTTACAACACAGATCGTTTCAAAGCAGCTTTACAGTAATAAACAGGAAAATAACAGTTTTAATGTTGTAAAATTTGAAAAATAAGAGAGAATAGAATTGTGAGATGTTGCTAGCCCAGTGGTTCTTAATCCTGGTCCTGGGGACACACTCAGTTCAGTTCACAGAGCTCTCTCCTTATGAATCAGATGCGTAAAATAAGGGAGAACCACGGTGCTAGCCAAACTCAAACCTGCATCTCACATGAGCTCAATGTGTCATGTGTGAACTGCTCTGTGTCTCAATCGTGTGTCTGTTGTTAGCGTGACCCCTGCAGTGACCTCTGACCTTATGCCACTGGCCGTCATTGACCTGCGGTCCACTGCTGGTCACTCGACTCACGGCTCCGTATTTCAGCTGCAGCTCCAGCTTCCCATGATGCATCACCAGAACAATCCAGGAGCTGTTCAAGTGGCCGCCGGCAAAGAAGATCACACCTTCGGGGTCGTAGGTCCTAAGGTCAAACTCTGCCGTGAATCTGAGAGGAAACAGTGAGTCAGTATCAAACACGACATTAAATCGGCTGTTACAGTGATCTTACTGCTGCAGTACTAATCCTGAAAACCATCATGCGTGCTCACCCGGTCTGGACCCTGCGGCGGAAGCGCAGCCGGACCACAGGAATCCCACTAAACATGCGTCCGAGGTACAGTGAGCGCGAGTTCCTCTTCATGTCCAGCGGCCGATAAAGGTTGATGGACTTCAGACACAGAGAGCAAGATGAGCTAAATATTCTCACAAAATCAAATAATCAAGCTGAAGATTTGCATGTGAATTTAAGACTTTTTAAGACCAAGTAAAGAGAGTTTAAGGAATAAATTGAAGGGAACACAATACATCATGATCTCTAAATGTAAATAACACTTCAGAGTTTCAAAATACAATTTACAATAGATCTCCATTACTTGAACTAGATCTCCA